GGAGTTTGCATGTTCTCTCCGTGCATGCGTGGGTTTTCTCCGGGTACTCCGGTTTCCTCCCACAGTCCAAAAACATGCATGTTAGGCTGATTGGTAACTCTAAATTGTCCCTAGGTGTGAGTGAGAGAGTGAATGGTTGTTTGTCTCTGTGTGTCCCTGTGATGGACTTGCGACCCGTCCAGGGTGTACCCGCCCCTCGCACAGTGATTGCTGAACATGGGCACCGGCGACCCCCGTGACCCGAAATGGAATAAGCAGGTAAAGAAAATGGATGGATGGATGGATATATAGTTTACAAATAGTTGAGCTTTTATTTTCTGGTTTCAATTGTGGATTTTGCAAATTATTATGAGAAAGATTATTTGTCAGCATAAGCTAATTGTCCTAACAAAGAAAAACTTCTAAAGAACATTACAGAAATATATATTTCTTTAAGCCTTTTGTCACTCTATAACAGTTTACACAACTTATGCTGACGAATGAAAGATTTGTCCAACACGCTGTTATACGTTGACGATGGAATGAAACATCCACTAGAAGTCTCTTTTGGAAGTTTACATCTTGTAACTGCTAACGAGTTGATCCAGGAAGCCGAAGCAGGAGGCCGGGGTCGACCCAGTCAAGCTTCGTTCTCGTAAACTTCACACTCACCCTTCTCTGCATCGGACCACCATTCAGACACTTATGGCAAATAAACGTTGAATAGGTCCAAATATATTGCAGGTATAAGTTACAGATATATTAGAAGTAAGTTGACAGAAATAAGTTAGACATACGCTACACGACGCATGTTAACTTTTGAGTGATTTACTTGTAAAACATGTGAACTTGTGTATAATTTATATATTGCTCGCCTGTAATTGAGCTCTAACTTTTATTAGCAACACGTCAACATACGCTGAAAATTTTGCGCTTGCACAAACTTTTAGGCTGGCATCAGCGAACAAATACCATCGTATAGCAGCGTGCCGGTACCTTGGTCAAAACTTATGTGACTTACACCAGCGTGTTACTTTACGACTTTGTTTTGTTTCTGCCAGGTGGAAATTTCTCTGAACCAGAAGATCCTGATTATCCTGACAATTCTTTGCAAATACTTCAAATGCCCAGTACGGAACACAAACATCACAGATTACAGACATTATGATTATACTGTAGATCAATTTCACTCCAGCGCATGTTCCAACAACTGCTGGTGATATTAGACCCTAAAGTAAACAGATTTGATGAAGTGTTGGTTAATAAAAAATGTTAATCTCTGAAAATAATTTGTCATTATCATTAAAATAAATTTTAATCAGCATTGCACCTCTTGTAAAACAAATGAATGCACATAATAATACTTTTTCCCTCTCTCATCAGATATAATAAATATGTCTTACATGGAGTATCCAATTCCTGAACATTTTCCTCTGATCTTTGAACAGATTCGAGGTAAAACAAACCAACTCTGAGACTTTATTTTGTATTTAAATTGTGTACAGTATTGGATAAAGCTGGATTATAAGATTTGCTTTTTATTCTTGTGTTGAATACTGTCTTGACTTTAATTCAGACTCATTTTCCAATTGAGAATTCTGTTGAAAATCAACTGAATGTCTACAAAGTGTTTTTTTTTTTTTTCTCTGTATATTTTCAGAAAACGAACTGGACATTTCAGAAGAATGCAGTTTTCAGGCTATTTTAAACCACCTGAATCTGACCAAAAACAGTGATACGTTCGCTGTGAGTCGACCCGTTAAACACCACAACCGTTTAACGTGGGTTCTGCTGGAGATGAAAATCTACGCCATCCTCGATGTGGTGAGCTCATAAAATGAGTGGGGGGTGTTTTGAGGGAAGTGATTGGTCGACATTAGATTTTGCAGCTGTCGTATTGTAATAATTGATTTAAGTCATATGTAGAGATTTTTTTTTCTAATTTTTCTGGTTAAATTTGTTTTAATCTAAACTCCATGTCTTTGCTCACAGAGAGAAACTGACCAGACTTTCATTTCATACATTTGGGTTTATTTGGTAAGCTTTAACTGCCTTTAAAACACACTTCTGTTGTGGTAAATCAAATTAAATGGTTGAAATGGTAAAATCTTCTTTTTTTCCTCTTGTAGTTGTTTAATTCTTATTTCTCTGATTGGGCTGTTAATTTTTTTTTTCTTGTGCAGAGATGGGACAATGAGCACATCTGGTGGGATCCAGATAAGTTTTGTGGAATTGATCATATTTTAGTTCCCACGCAGCTTTTGTGGATGCCAGATGTGACTATTGAAGAAATGTAAGTTTAGATTCACATTCACACACACACACATACAAATGTAGTTAGATTTTAGAAAAATAAAAGCTTTAACCACAAATTTAAATTGATTTCCTCCCACGTCAATAAAACACAAATGTTTAGTTAATTAGAGTCAGTTTAGAAGTAATTGTGTCGTGGAAAAAAGGGATTCCCAAAACAACCGGGTGTAAGCTCACAGGAGATCAATGCATCAACCAGGACACACTTATCAATGCTTTCACCTGTCTGAGGCTCTGATCCGTTCTGACTTGCTGAACAGAAAAAGTCAGTTTTGTAGAAACTTCCAGCCCCCATCCCCTCCCTGCCCTGTCCAGCTGTTATCTGAATCCCAGCTGCAGTCAGAAGTGGGAGGAAGTCTGGGAGCCAGCAGCTCTCAAGGACTTGTAAGAAAGACGTCACTGTAATCACATCAGTCACCTTGAGGATAATAGAATCATCTCTTGCTGTCCCTTTACTGACCGACCACATGAAGACTGATCATTACATAGAGTAGGGATCATGGAACATTTAAATTTTATTCACAATAACAATAAAAGAGCTGTGAAATTTACAGAGCATGGCGAGTGCAAATAAAACTAATTCCCTTGACAATTGTTTGAACTGAAGTTCACTGAAAGTTTTGTTCCAATAACAGCTGATTAGTCTCTTCACGGCATCCTAACCACATTGCGCAATGAAGACATATTTTATTTATTCATCATGTTAATTTACCTTTGGTTATGATGCAATACATGTACACACTATGAAGCAGTTATTCTACATATAAATCATGAAACACTGGATAAAAAAATTTGTGGACTATTTATAGTTGCAACAATGTCTGACACTTAAGACTGAAATATAGGATTTGTTTTGTATCATGCCATCCCTCTTTTTGTGAAACCAACAGTGCAGCAAGTTGCTCCTCACCTTTAGTTACTTCTTCTGGAGTGCTCCTGAAGTCACGTACAACCAGCTCTCAGGAGATTGTAAATGTCTCACACTAACTACATCCTGCAAAAAGCACTGGTCTGAAAATCAGATGCTTTTTTTATCAGAATCTAAAGAAATAAGAACATGTTTTCCTCTGAACGCCTACATAAAATTCCATACATGTGGGCAAACTGTGCTAATGCATACAGACACGGGTAGATAGAGCAGTTTGAGGTGCACTTCTAATGAGGATGTGCAAGGACATTAATATAAATTTGGAGGCTGCAAGGTTGTTTGTGACTATGCACGGAGGAAAGTGTTCTGTATTTGTATTGTATCTAGATTTTTAAATTGTTCGTATTTTAATGTATAGTTTTTATTATATGAATTTGGAGGTTGTAATGTCGATTACATGAATATGTAGGCATGAATACATATGTATTCTTACTGTATTTTCGTTGATAAACTGTATGTATTTTAATGCGTAGAAATGCCCAGGGACTGGAGTTGCGTATTAGCTAAAGCTATAAACTCTTTGTGCAACGCATCAGTCACAGGCGTGTTCTGTTCCATGTTTGTGTGCATTGTCCCTGTCAAATAATGATAATAATAATTTGCGGGGGTTTTATGAATTAGGTGGATGTGTAATTTATGGTTTGATCCTGTTTCGCAGCTGCAAAAGCCACACAATCTTTAGTTAGCTCTATTTGTTTGAACAGGACTCTGTTGGACCATTTTTGTCCCTCGTCCTGGAGCGAAAAGTGGAAATTGGAAATACCCTTTGTCCATCCATCTGTGCATGTTGTGAGCGCGATAACATTAAAAATAAGTGCGGTACCAACTTTCATTTTGGTGTATGGCTGCATCTACGCGTAAGAAAGTTATTTATTTGTTTTTCAAAAATGGAGTTGCCACGTCAAACTCAAAAATGGCCGCTTCCGTTTATATATGGCCAGCTCAGTCATTTGAGGAAACTATGCTTTCTAGTTTTTATATGGCTTAGGATTATATTTTCCTCAAATGATTGAGGTGGCCAGAGGGGTGGCCGAAGATTATTCTACAGTGGCCAAGGCCACAACTGGCCACCCCCTGGCTCCACCTTTGTGCCTGGTGGTGGATCAAATTGCTCCTCTGCTCTCCAGGATCCGTCACTCTGCATTGCTTCAGACAAGAAACAAATACTTAAAAAAGCCTACGTCTGTTTTTATACATATTAAGGTTAACTTGCATTCCAGTCCAGAAAAAAAACTAATCTCAACATCTACATCAATCACTATTCAAATTCTTCAGTGACGGGGGACATCATTGTATTGTTTACATATGCATTAGAATCACATAAAATGTGCCTTTGTTGCATAATTTAAAGCTCTGCCAGAATGTATATTTGTCCATGCTTATATTCTACTTCCTCTATGGAGTAAACAGGTGATGATGGAACAAGCAAGTTTAAAATCGTAAATCTGAAATGCTTTACTTTAATATGCTACATGTTGCATTATGAGTTTTGCTTGGCTTAATGTCTTCAGGATATTTTATTGTCATTTGTTGTCTCACAGGACAGAACAAGACAAAGCCTCTCCGAGTCCTTATCTCAACATACGAAACTATGGATGGGTGGAATTTAGAAATGATCAGGTGGTGATCAGCTCATGCAAGATGCGTGTTTACAAATTCCCCTTCGATGTTCAGAGCTGCAACATCTCCTTCAAATCAATCATGCACTCAGGTGAGCCAAGAAACGGTTCTTTTAGCTTCAGCTATATGTGGATGATGCACTCAGATGTGCATTTGTTCTGTGTTAACCTGCTTGGAAAACTTGTTCTTCTTCTCAGATGATGAAATAACATTATTCTACAATAAGAACAATACAATGATCACCGAGTGGTCCCGTGAAACTATGCAGACGCAGTACGAGTGGCTGTTTGTCAGCATGTCGGTCACAAGCAAAACTGTGAAACATTTTGGCTTCAACCAGACAACGATTGTTTACACTGTGAGTATTCATGGGTGGAAAGTGTTGAATTAACATTACATCCATCATTGACAAACTATAATCACAGCAGCCTGATCTGTTTCTGTGATCCTTTTTCTACAGCAAAAATAATTATTCAATCTTAGTCAAAGTTGGGTGACATATTACTTTAGATACAGCAGAATTTTCCCTCAGTCAAATCAACATGACAAAGACACTTGCTCTAAAATAGTAACATGTTAATCATAAAACTCATGTTTTTTTAATCTAAATAGAGCAAAAATATCTTATAATTACAGTATTTTCCGCCATACACGTCGCACCGCCCCAAATATGTCTAATAAAGTGGAAAAAGACATAAATAAGTCGCTTCACCATATACGTCGAATCTATTATGTGTCACCACTGACACGTTGCGTTTGTTACACGTCACCGCTGACAACCCGGAAACATGGGCCAAACCTACAAATGTGGGCCGGTGTTGTGCCAAAAATCGATGGGCTGCCAAATGGCGACCATGGGAACATGCACGGGAGGACTTTGACAATAATTTAACAAGACTAACACTTAAAACAATTATTCCTTTGCTCTAAAATATAGTAAAGGTGTGTCTTAGTCTAACTTTTCCTTAATAAATGCACTTTAATGGTCAAATCAGCTGCATTTCAAAAGCTGATATGTGGAGGAACGCGCAGAGGAACGACTCGCTGTGCATTTCTTCAAAATTTAACAAGATAACCAACTAAAACAATTATTTCTTAGCTCGTCATTATGTTAAAGGTGTCTCAGTTGAAGTTTTGCTTAATAAATGCATTTTAATGGTCAAATCAGCTGCATTTCGCCGGGGCGGTGCAGCGAAATGCAGCTGATTTGACGGTTGCTCCAGGCGAGCTGGATGAAGGTTGCAGTCTATGGCAAGCTGATTGTGTCATTAATAGTCACCTCACAAACCACTGTCTGCTGGGATGTTTCCATACTTTAATGTATAGTGTATTTTAGAATGGTTTTAACTGCATGTTTTTAATTGATTTAGCCTTGGTTTTAAAGTTTTTTAATCACATTTTTATTTTGTTTTTATAAGCCAGATGCCAAAGACAAATCTCCATTTCATTGAATGTTATGGACAATAAAGTTGAATTGATTGATTGATTGACCTTTACCTATTACATGACACAACGGCATGCCATACACGTGAGTGCCATCTAGCGGCTGAAAATGGCAGTGTTCAATATTTTCAGTCAGAATTAATGAAAACGGTCATATCGCAGCAGCACGGTGGCGCAACTGGTAGAGCTGCTGCCTCTCAGCGAGCGGGTCCTTGGTTCAAACCCCAGTCCAGGGGCCTTTCTGGGTGGAGTTTGTATGTTCTCTCCATGCATGCATGAGTTTTCTATGGGTACTCCGGTTTCCTCCCACAGACCAAAAACATGCATGTTAGGCTGATTGGTAACTTTAAATTGTCCCTGGTTGTGAGTGAGATAGTGAATGGTTGTTTGTCTTGTTTGTCTCTATGTGGCCCTGTGATGGACTTGCGACCCGTCCAGGGTGTACCCCGCCCCTCGCACAGTGATTGCTGGACATGGGCACCAGTGACCCCCGTGACCCAAAATGAAATAAGTGGGTAAAGATAATGGATGGGCTCATATCGCAGCCAAAAATTGGTTTATAAATATGGGAAAAAAAAACATAAATGAGTCGCTTCAGCATATAAGTTGTAGGGCATGCAAATTATGCAAAAAACAGCAACTTATAGACTGAAAAATACAGTACACCCAATAATCTGTTTTTTCACTTTATTCAACTGTCAATAATACTAAACCAAATGTTGCGGGGGGGAAAAATCAACACTATGTTAATTATACATAAAATGTGTAGGAAATGGATCTAGTATTACAATGATTGACACATGCATAACAACTTATTTTGAACAATGAACATTACAAGGAAAACTCTTCCCTTCGTTCCTCACTAGATCATACTAAACGTAGTTTAATAAACATAAAGTCAAAGATCCACTTTCTAGTTAGTACTCAAAAGGATTTAGCGTTTGCTCCTAAATACTCCATCCTTGTCTTTTTATTCTTGCGTTTACAGTTTGGGGTATCTGCTCTACGTCTTCTTTTTTGTTTCAGCCTCACGTACAGGTCTGGAATAGTTTCTAGATACTTTGCTGTTTTTCTGTGAGGATGAAAACATTTCTAGAAATATTACCGTGTTCACAAGGAAAACGATGATTTTTTGGATAAGTCTGAAACTCTCAAGCCGCAATCGGCTTTTTGAATAAGAGGTGAAATGGTTTGAAGAAACAAGATGTCCACTTGCCTTCTATTTAAAATTTTATTATAAGGTACACAATGATGCAACAGTGCAGGGGTACAAAAATGAAAACAGAAGCAGTACGTGCAAAGTAAAGATCGTACTCCTCCAACAAGTCATTTTGTGACAACACAAGTTGAAGAACACTTTCTTTCACACGCAAACAACAAAGTTAATCTCACATATTCTTTTGCAGGTAAACATGCAGAGAAGGTCTGTCCTCTATATTGCAAACTTCCTGCTGCCCGTCCTTTTCTTCTTGTGTCTGGACTTCGCCTCCCTCCTGATGTCAGACACCGGCGGCGAAAAGATTGGCTTCAAAATCACCGTGCTGCTCGCCGTCACCGTGATGCAGCTAATTCTCAACGACATTCTTCCCAGTTCCTCAGACAAGATTCCACTAATAGGTAAAGTTCAGCATTTCCCACCTTTCTTGAGCAGGACATGCTCAATTAGCAATGTGAATTTGCTTGCCCCCCCTCAGCTGTTTACTGTATGGGGATATTTGGTCTCATGCTGATCAGCCTCTTGGAGACGATTTTGGTGATTCATCTAATTGATAAAGATGCATCATCTCAAGACAACGAAACAACCGAGAACCGAAAACTGAACGAGAGTCAAGAGAACAACAGCTTCCACTGCTGCTTTTTGGGTGAGACTACTTTCATTTTCTACATCAACTCCCATTTTTCATCAGTCCCAAATAATATCAAATTAACCGTTTTGCTAATTTAATACAAAACAAACAACGTTGGATTTAAATGCTCACACACTGATGAGTTTTAATTTTTCAGGGATAAAGAAAATGAGCCTCTGTGCATCTTCCAATAATACACCAGCTGATGGAGCACCGTCAGTATATAAAGAGGTGAGAAGTGTGTAATTTTTTTAAGGCAGCATTTTGCAGCATCACATTTATTTTTGATTGTCAAAAATCATCTGTCCAGGTTAGCAGCGGCCACCACACTGAAGTGTCTCTTGCTCTAGAAAAGCTTTCAGATGAGATTGGAGAGATTAAGAAAACGCTCACGCTGCTCAGCTGCAGAAACAAAAATGAGAAACCTGGCTACTGGACCCGAGTGGCTCAGAAAATCAACAAAGTTTTTGCAGGTTTTTATGTCGTATCAACCATTGCGTTTTTACTGACCATCTTTACAATGTGGTATTCTGCAGATGACTAAGAATAAAAAAGTTTAAAAACTCTTCATTTAATTTACTTATGCATCAATCAGACTTATCATTCTTTTTTTTTAAATCTGTTATATATATGAAGTCTGTAATTTTTGCATGTAATTGTCATGCAGATGATCATGTTTGTCTTGTTTTTATCATACAACGAAAAAAATTGACATTATACCGGATCTTAGCTCATATATGAACTTACATGTTCTTGTTTGCACATTGATTATTATTTTTGTGGCTTCTCCATATGAGTTTTAAATAGCAAGTAGGTCAGTTTATTCATTAGCTGCTGTTATGACACTTGTGTCGCTAGAACTGTGGTATTTGAAAAACAAATATGTGTTTCAGTTATCCATAATAACGTGGTAAAATGTGTAATTTCGTGGAAGTGCTGTCCTCTTAAGATTCATATAAGTTGTGCTCAAAGCTGTGAAAATGAGGTGGTCAGTGAATGAATTGTTTCTGTGCTTTTTCACATCTGCATGTCAGATACTTCATGAATGTCATCAATAATTGTCCTGGAAGCTTGTTCTATAAACTATTTGTGTATTCAAATAAACAGTTTATAAACACCTTTGGTGTAAAGTTTCTTTTTGTTGTTGTTGTTGTTGTTGGAAGCTTATACACCAAAAGCGACTAATACCCCCCCCCCACCCCCCAAATTTATAACCCAACTTTTGGCTGAGATCAGACCACTCCATTCATTCTGACATGGGAAATATTGAACACTACCATTTTCAGCCACTAGAGGGCCCTCGGGCAATATGGCAAGCCAAGTGTCTCATTAATAGGTAAAATTGACTATTAATGAGACATCTGGCTTGCCATACTGCCACCTTTGTTTTGCTCCTAGAGCAAAGGTCAAATCAACCTCAATGGTCAATCTGATTTGACCATTAAAGTGCATTTATTAAGGAAAAGTTCAACTGAGACACACCTTTGCTATAATTTCGAGCAAACAAATAATTGTTTTTAAGTGTTAATCTTGTTAAATTATTGTTAAAGTCCACCTGTGCACGTTACTGCGGCCGCCATTTTGGCAGCCAATCAATTATTGGCACAACACCGGCCTACATTTCCAGGTGGTCAGCGGTGACGCATAACAAACGTGACACATCAGTGTTGATGCATAATAGATGCAAATTATACGGCGAAGCAACTTATGTTTTTTTCCCACTTTATTAGACAATTTTGTACTGATGCGACTTATAGGGCGGTGTGACTTTTACGGCGGATAATACGGTACGTACAAAGAGAGAGACATTGCTCACATCCAAAATAAACATCATCCTAGTAATGAAGGCGTTGCTTTGGTTCGTTGTAGTGAAGAAAGAATTGAGTCAAATGGCAAAGCTCTGGAATTACTAGTTAGTCGATGTTCCAACCCTCACCTATGGTCATGTGGTACGGAACGTGACTGAGAGAACCAGATCCTGAAACAAGCAGCCGAAATGAGCTTCCCTCGTCAGAAGACAGGGCTCAGCCTTAGAGATGGGGTGAGGAGGTCTGTCATCCAGGGGAAGTAGAGCTGCTGCTCCTTCGCATCAACAAGAGTCAGTTGAGGTGATTTGGACATCTGATAAGAATGAACACATTGGAAAGAGACCCCTGGCAGACCAGAATTTGCTAGATTCTATATCCTCTCTGGAAATGCTTTGGGATGTTTGGGGTTCTCTTCCAACCTGTTGCCTCCTTGAATCGACTATGAATTTAGAAGATGGAGATGTTTCGAGGTTGCCAACAAAGCACTTACTCGGAGCATGCTGAACTCACAATGCTAAATAATCTGTACACAGACAGGTGTTCCAAATAATGGTTCTCCGAGGAACACTGTTGCATGTTTCTTCATATATTTTTCAACCCCAGCTGCATCTTTTGTTGCTCAAGCAGGGAAATGTTTGAACATGATCCACTTCAGTCAAGTTTTTCTAATTCCAAGGTGGAAAACTGAAGCAGCAACAGATTTTTTAAAGTGCCTGTCACCAAAACAACTGTTCTTTCCGCCATACACGCTGCACCACTGTATAAATTGCATCAGTCCAAATATGTCTAATAAAGTGACCCCACAGCATAAATAAGTCACTTTGCCATATAGGTTGCATCTATTACGCATCACCGCTGATGCGTCGCGTTTGTTAAACGTCACCGTTGACCACGCGGAAACGTGGGCTGGTGTTGCGCCAAAAATCAATTGGCTGCCAAATGGGTACGTCCGGCAAGATGGCGGAGAGAGCGGCTGCGCTGTGAAGACCTCCAGGTAGCAAAGCTTGAAAAAAAAATGTGATTTGAAAAACTGTGATGTCCTGACTCATTACAAGTAAAGGAGGATCAATCCGAAATTAAAAAATACACCCAACGTAAACGCGAGAAACAACAACGGGCAAAAGAAAACAACGGCGATAATGGCTACTAGCAAAGCTAACAGCACTGCTAACAAAGCTCTGCTAGCACACAGCTACTGCCACGCACGAAATATGGAAACTGACACCAAAGGAACCAAAAATGCCTTAACATCACCGTGTAAGACCCCAGTACCACACAAGAAGACAAAGGGAGACGAGGAGGTTGATTCAAATGCCTCTTACGCCGTGCTCCTAGCAGCAGTTTAAAGTCTACAACAAATGATGTCCAAGTTTGGTGAAGAAATGAAACAGATCCCGCTCACCGTTGATAATATCATCAAGACGGTGTATTATAACAGCTCTGAAATCCAGGAGTGTAAAGCTGAAAACGAAAACATGGAAAAAAAAAAGAGATGACACAACTTAAAGCTACAAACACGGAGCTGACGAAGGAAATCCAGGATATTAAAAGAAAAGCAACAGGGTCGGAGCGCTACAAAAGAAGATGGAATCTGCACATCAACGGTTTAAAAGAGGAAAAAGATGAAGACGTCAAACAGAAAGTCGTGGATCTCATCAAGCAGATTATGCCACAATGGAAAGAGAAGACAGACATGATTCTGGACACTGTGCACCGCCTGGGCCCAAACAACACCAACCGCCCACGACAGATTATTACAGTTCACAGGTCGAAGCTTCAGAGATGAACTTTCCACAAAACAACACCCCACCTGCAGAGAGCTCAACATCCGATTCGCTGAGGACCTCACCAAGGAAGACTGGGAAGCACGACTAGCTGTGTGTCCCAAAGTGAACGAAGCACGGAGATCTGGGATGAAGGCGTGTTTAAAGGCCCACATGCCTTCATCAATGGACAACGAGTTACTCCTTAGATATTTGGACAATAGATCCACATGCCATTTCTGAGCTCAGGTAATCTTATTATTCCATGAGTTTTGCTACCTACAGCGCAGTTGTTTTCCTCAGGTAACACCTGTCCAAGCTATGTTCAGATTTTTTAAATTTTCTATGTTTAACTTGAAGAGTGAACTTTCACTCATTTCTGTTAATGCAAGGGGCTTAAGAGACTTAACTAAGAGGAAAAGTTTCTTTTTATTTTGTAAAAGGCAAAATGCAAATATAATATTCTTACAGGAAACTCATTCAAAACTTGAAGACAGCACCTTTTGGTCTAAACAATGGGGAAATGAAGCTTATTTGTGTCATGGCTCCTCGAGATCAGCAGGGGTCGCTATTGTATTAAAAACTTGAAAAGTCAAATAATTTCAAAAGAAATGGATGATGGTCACTGGTTATTCCTCACTGTTCTAATAATTATTTTAGTGAATATATATGGATATAACCAGAACAAATTATTGATAGAAGAAATAGCCCTAAAATTAGATCAGTTGAAATCAACTTACTCAACAAACAACGTCATCATGGGAGATCTCAACCTGGTTCAAGATGAATTTTATGACAAGGCCCTCGAAACACGACTCAGCTCACCCAAACACAACATTCAACAACTTTTGCAATGAACAAAATCTAGTTGACGCGTGGCGTAATCTCAATTTCTCAAATAGCAAATCAAGAACTGATCACTGGCTTGTAGCAAATGAATTATTGATCAATGAACTCTGATATTTCTATAGCACCTTTGACTGATCATAGACTTATTTCCTTACAAACAAAACCCCAAAACTGGAAACCAGGCTCAAGCAAATATTGGAAATTTAACTCCAGTCTTCTTAAAAATGACACCTACTGCAAAAAAAATCCAAAAAAAAAATCAAAGAATTAATCCAGACTATAACGGACTCTGAAGATTTAAATAGCCCAGTCCAAAAATGGGAATTCCTAAAATACAAGATCAGTCCATTTTCTATCTCATTCAGTAAACCATTAAAAAAAGAACTACAAGAAAAAGAACTAGATATTATACAACAACTAAATGTATATTGTAATAAACCTAATCCCTCAGAAGAAGACAAACAAAAAATACAAAATCTCCAACTTAATCTAGATGAAATGTACATCCAAAGGGCCAAAGGAGCTTTTATTAGATCAAGAGCGAGATGGATTGAGGAGGGAGGAAAAAAACACTGCATACTTCTGTAATTTTGAAAAAAGAAGACAACAACAAAATACTATCAAATCATTAATAATAGATGATGTGGAAACCAATAATGAAAAATTAATATCAACAGAAATCTTTAAATTCTATAACAACTTATATACCTCCAAATTCCCTGAACAAAACTGTAAGACTTTCCTTAACCAAATTGAAACTTTTATTCCTAAAATAGAAGATAATTTCAAACAAACTTGTGACAACAATATCACAGTAGAAGAACTTAATAAGGCAGTTAATCTCTTATCATTGAACAAAGCACCTGGTCCGGACGGTCTTACAGGGAACTTCTATAAACATTTTTGGGAAGACATAAAAATATTACTACATCTAGTTTTTACAGAATTTTTTAAAAATTATACACTACCTCCGACGATGAGACAAGGAGTTATTATATCTATCCCCAAACCAGATAAGGACCCAAGATTTATTAAGAATAGAAGACCTATTACACTCAGAAATTCAGATTATAAATTACTAACCTACATCTTCACCATGCGTCTCCAAACTGGGATCTCAAAGG